CAGGGGAAAGAGTCAAGGTCATGGGAAGGGGCCAGAACTGGAGCACATGCCTCAGATGCTGGGATAAGGGTCCGTCTTCCTCCGAGGGGGTGCGCGTGCAGGAGCATGTCTGCAGTGGGTGAGGAAGGAGGCCGCAAAGATGGCGGAAGTAAGGGAGCAGGAAGTCGACGAAGCTCCCTTGAGCCGGCTTTTGTTTTCTCCACAAAATCACAGGCCAAGTCGCCTTCTTGGAGCCAAGGGGTGAGCTTCTGGTTTGGAGTCTGTGGCAAGAGGAAAAGCCATAGAGGGCAACGTAGAGGGCCCTGCGCAGGCACAAGTGACAGAAACAGTGCCGGTCTGTGTGAGGCTGGTCACAAGCAATCTTGCACCAACTTGCAGTTGTGTGGTCCCCCTCCCCAGACCACACTCAGCAGCTCAGGGGTAGAGATAAAAGACACATGGGATTGAACCAATGGGCGCCGCCCCCCCCCCCCCACTGCTTCGTGCCTGTGTGTGCATGTGCACACGAGGGCGTGCATGCGTGTGTGTGTGTTTGTGTGTGTGTGTGCGTGTGCGTGTGTGCGCGCACGTGACCAGCAGCAAAGGGAGGTCCCGGGCGAGGGAGAGGTTGCAGTGGTGCATAACAGGGTTTGGGCTGAACTGGCAGGGATGAGGACAGGCAGGACGGCGAGGGCCTGGGCATGTGGGGAAATCGCTGTGCAGGTGCACGAGGGGAGGGGCTTGTCTGCTTCGCTCATCACTCTACCCTCAGCTCCTAAGACAGCGCCCACGACAGCGTAAGTGCCGGGTGGGCATCCGTGCCCCAGTAACTGAACCCACTGCCAACGGTCAGCGTGCGGCACGGCGTCCCCAAAGGGGGAAGCTCACTCCCTCTCCGCAGCTGGAATGAGAGTGGGTTTTGGCCCCCCTGGCCCCACAGCGATGCGGCTCAGGGTGCCACTGGGACTGTGGCGTCCTCTTTACAGGGGAGGAAAGAGCACAGTGCAGGACAGAATGCCTTCCCCCAGGAGCTCGCCCTGGTGAGCAAATGGCAGGAGTTTCTCAAGCGGGACGAAGGGCACACATCTCAGCTTCGGCAAACTCCTGTTTTACCGTCTACGATGCCCCTTCTTCCGTCAATGTGGAGATTCCAGCCCACCACCAACCCGCTACTGGCCAACGTCCTCCCGTCACCCTGCCACGGACACTGGGGAGTTCAGCAGGGCTAGATCTGCAATGTCAGGACTGCTCTCTGCGCCCTCTCACCCAGTGGGGGTGCGTCCAGCTCGGACGGCATCTGTGCAGATGGACCCTGGTTCCGAAGCCCCAGCCAAGTGTGGAACGCGAGGTGGACCAAGGTCATTGATCCTGACCCCCAGGGTCTGTGGCCCCGATAGACTCTCTGATAAGCAATCACGGAGTTGCTTCTCCCGTGTGGAGAGAGAGGCAGCATGGTGTGGGGGGGAGGGGCCCAGGTTTGGAGTCAGACCTAAGTGCACAGAGCTGATAACTGACCAGCCACATTGGGAGGGAGAATCAGCACGTTGAACCCTACCTCCCGGTCTTTAGGAGTAATAACACTCCTGGGCTGTGAAGATGTACCATCATCCGGAATAACGCATAGGTGTTTAATAATGGACACCTCCCCTCCCTCTGACCTTTTTCCTTCTTAGGTAATTATTAAGGCTCAGAAGCCCCAGTGATCAGCACTCCTGGCGATCTGACGGAGGAGGACAAGGGTCGAGGTCCTTTCTAGGCTAAATCGCGGGTCAATGAAGGCGGATTCTTAGTCCTCTGTCCTGCCATTCTGAGACCCTATAGCAGCAGGATACCAGCTTCAGGCCCTCCCAGAAGGACATGCTCAGAGGATGAAGCACAATTCTCTGAGTTCAGATTCACGTTATTTAATCCATTTGGGTCTCAGTTTTCACAATCGGTTGAGCGGAGGTGATAATTGCGCCCTTTCTCTCACAGATGTTTTAAATATGCATTACAGCAAAAGGACATATAATTGCCAAATAATAAGCCATGCTGGGATGGCGGCCCAAACTGAGATCCCCAGTGGTGCAGGGTTAATATTTCCACTGGATGAATTCCTAAATCTTGGCTTACTTTTCCGTGGTCTTTTATTGGGTGCTTTTATTCTTTTCCATGAAGGCTGACGGAAGACGTATTCTAGAGATGTAATCAATAGATGTTTAAACAAAAGGAGAAAGGCCAGGAGTGGCTGGAGAGATCGCTCGCAGGCATGCACGCGTACTGACGTGTACTGACGGCTGGGGCTCCAGCGGGCGCACTCTTGTTGAGAAAGGTCAGGGCAGGCACACAGGGAAATCGCCCAGCTGGACATGAGCCCCTTTATGGACTCCGGCATAGTCCAAGGTCTGAGTCTTTTATGAGGATAATTTTTCATATCACTCCTTTGGAGAAGATAGCCTGTGGGCAGCCCTGGAAAGGCACCGAGTCCTAAGCTGGGAATCCTTCCCAGGCATCCAAGTATAAATGCGCAATTCACCTGCAGGAGGGAACCCCGCCTCCTCTCTTGGAGGAAACAGACTGTTGGTGTTTTGCTGCTATGTTGCTGAGCTAGCAGAAAAGTGGGGCCTCCGGATAGCGGGGTCTGGGAGCCAGGATCTTCTGGGACTGGTGCCAAGGTGACAGCCACCCCGGGAGGTGGCTGCAATAGTTCGAGCGACAGGCAATGGGGGACTGAGTTTGGGTAATAAAGAGGAGAGGGCAGGACGGGGGATGGAAGCAGCAGGGGGGATTAACGCACAGAAGAATTTGAGGAACAGGAAAGACTTCAAGGTTAAAGCCTATAGGACTGAATGGAAGACGAGGTCAAAGCTTCGAGGCACCACGGAAGGCCTGGGGAGGTCAAGATGATGAGTTTGGCTTTGGACCTGCTGAGTGTGAAGCCCTTGGGGGGCCAAGAAGTACCTGGACATAGACAGTGGAGGCTCTCCACAAAAAGCAGCTTTTGTGCTGAGCCGCAGAAGGAGCTCAGCTTGTGGGCAGCATTCTGCTGGGGGTCTGCCCCTAAATGGGGACTTGGAGAGCTTTTTCCCGGGAGTGTTCTGCCAGGTGCCTGCTGCGGTCAAGTAGGAAAATGGGTCCATTCTTGGTTCTCCGTAGGGTTAGCACGGAATCTACCTCCGTGGCTCTCCTGTGTGCAGCTGGTTTCACAGACAGAAGTCAGCCTGGAGAGCCCAGGTATCCTCAGTGACAAACGTGTCCCTTGGGCAATCTCATGGCGCCCCAAGCTCTCCTCCAAGGATCAGTTCCCCAAACCCACCGATAACTCAGCTCATGACAGACCCTTCCAAAAAAGAGCTAATATGCAACCAGCCCAGGATTCTCTCTTCCTGGTTAATGTTGGGGAAAAGCGGCGGGAAGGAGGAGACATCCTGATATATGGCCAGGGTACTCACCCACCTTTGATTACAGGTGAATGAAACGCTTAAATTCAACTGAGCTTTGCCTGATGCTGCCTCCCTTTTGGTGGCACTGTTACTGTTACTCTTCCATTTATCTGAGAAAATGTGGGCCACCATCAAATAGACTGTGACATCAAGAGCACGCCCATCAGTAATGGAAACGGCCAAGATTTGCTGTGATATGTTTGCAGCTATTAAACAAATGAAAAGGGCATTAAACCCAAGTTTAAATGTGCTCCCCCCGCTGAGGTAGAGATACATATCCCCGCCTGTTAAACGGGCCCTTTAACTCTTATTTAGGCTCTCCGATGCCTTCTGCAGTATCGGGAGAGCTATGTCTGAAAGGGCATCCCTGACCATGCTCTTGAGGAAGAACTGAACCGTGAACCGTTTGTGTCCTGCTCTTGAACTTCTGTGAACGTATTTTATAAGAACGGGGTAGATGTACTGGGCAGGAGTGTGAAGTATTCACTGGAAGATGGAGACATTCAAGATCAAATGCCTCTGCAGTTATACGCAATGAAGGTTCTGCACAGAAACTGCCTGGTGGCTCCAAGGACTGGGTGCTCCTGCTGGATTTGGACGTTCAGATCCCGGCTCTGCCCTTGAACCTGTGACAAGGCCCCCTCTCTGACTTGCCAAAACCTTCTGCAAATGAAGGTGAGAAGTCCAGCTGACCTCCTAAGACATTTGCAAATGTTGGGGTGCCCGGAAGGCTTGGTCAGTTAAGCGTCCTACTTCAGCTCAGGTCATGATCTCACTGTTCGTGGGTTCAAGTCCTGCATCGGGTGAGCTCAAGCCCCACTTCAGGGGAGCATGAGCCCTGCTTCCTTCTCTCTCTCTCTCTCTCTCTCTCTCTGCTCTCTCTGCCCCTCGTGGGATTCTCTTTCCCTCTCTCTCTTCGGCCTTGCTCACCTGTGCCTTCTCTGTCTCTCTCAAAAAAAGACGTTTGCAAATGTTAACCATGAGAAGCAAATCATATTCTCTGCAGTCCCCAAATAAAATAGATTAGCGAACAGAAATCTATTTTACAATAGAATAGCAAACAGAAAATGCCCATTGTTTCTGGTAATTTATCAGGCCATATCTTCCCTTCGCGGGGAACGCACTGAGCGGCTGCATTTCAACTATTCCTACTTGGGATAAACTAGGCAAGTTTCAAGAGGCCAGGTGCCACATGTGATAAAAGGGAAGAAGAGACAGACATTTGTGATGTCGCTCCAAGTGACTACCGCCAAAAACAATAATAATCTAAGGGTGTGTGGTTATAGGAGGCTCAGTCTCATTTAAGATATACACCCCCTCCCCCACAAAAAAAAAAAGCAAAAAAAAAAAAGGCTCTTATCTTCATTCCACACAAGCATCCTAGCACAAGAGCACAAACAAGTGTGTTCGTGCACAGACACTGACATGCCTTGGACACTCATGCCCTGTGGTCACGTCTCCTGGGAATGCAGCTATATCGGAACCTCTGTCGTTGGCAATGGACCAGGACTTGATTCCCCTTTCTTGTAACCATGTTGCCCTCCCAGACTTTTCTGGACAAAGAAAAAAAGAAGCAAAAGGTTGGGGATGAACACCTACCTGACACAGAAGTACAAAACCACTGGTCCCGACTTTTTGGGGAAGTCGTGTTCCAATACTCTTCGATCTAGTTGAAGCCAGTTTAAGTGTCCCCTGAGGAGGAGAGAGACAAATTGGTTAGGACTTTGGAATCTGCAGAAACTTCTTGTGACACAGGTGTGTGTGCCTTAGAACGGCCAGATCACAGATCAATGCAGACCTTCACCTCCCTCCCAAGTTTTCAATATTTGGAGAACCTTCAGGAATTATCTGGGAAGTACTGAGTCAGCGGCAGATACTGTGTGACATGAAGGAGGGGAATGGCAATCAGAAAGTCGGGGTTCGCGACCGGCTATCCTTCCTCACTGGTGCTGAAATGAAGATGTAATCATTCTCTCTGTCTCTCTCTCTTTCGTTCTGAATTCCCTTATGTAACACCACCACACTCCTCAGTGCTTCCTTTCCCGAAGGACTCAAAACCCACTTTAGAAAGCGTGAGCAAACTTCACAATATCTTGCTAGAAGTAGAACGGGGTGAGAAGTGAATCACAGACCATTTCTTTAAAAACGAGGGGCGCCTGGGTGGCTCAGTGAGTTAAGCCTCCGACTCTCGGTTTCGGTGCAGGTCATGACCTAGTGGTTTCACGTTCAAGCCCCACGTCGGGCTCTGTGCTGACAGCACGGAGCCTGCTTGGGATTCTCTTTCCCTCTCTCTCTGCCTCTCCCCTGCTCACGCTGTCTCTGTCTCTCCAAAAATTATTAAATAAGTTTTAAAAAGAAATGAAACTTACACCCACCATGACATTCTGATCCTAGGTATTTACCTGAGAAAAAGGAAAGCTATACCCACGCCAAGACCTTCACAGACAGATGCACAGACACTTTACGTGCAACAGCTCAAAACCGGGAATAACCCAAATGTAAACCAACAGGGGAATGAGCATCACATAGTTACAGAACGGAATACTCTGCCCCAATAAAGACAGTGAGCTGTTGACATACAGCAGCATGGATGAATCTCAAAATAATGACGCTGGGTGGAAGACGCCACATAAAAGGATTTTATGTCTTTATAAAACTCCAGGAGGTGCAAACCGATCTCCAGTGACAGACGGTGCATCACTGGTTGCCCGGGAGGTGGGAGGGAGGGCTCTTAGGGGGGCAAGAGGAAACTTTTGGGAATGACGGACATGTTCACTATCTTGATGTGATGGTTTCATGGGTGCAGCCACATGTCAAAACTTATCAAACTGTACTCTTTAACGTGTGTTTATTGCATGTCAATTATACCTCGTTAAAGCCATCTTAAACAGCGAACCACAGAGACATCTGATGACACACAAATGGAGTCGCTTGTGTGCTTCTTCCTTCTCTCTCTCTCTCTCTCCCTTTCTCTTCCTTCTTGTAAATATTAATTAATCACCTTCTCTGAAAAAGGGACTGCAGATGCAGCAGTGACCCAAATAGACATGATCCCTATTCCCCTCACGATTATATTCTCGTAGGGAGACAGACAACCGCTCTTCCAATTAATTGCAGAATTACTAATCGGGATGGTATTAGGACCCAACACCTACGGTACAAGGATCATGAGTAACGAGAACATGTAAGGACCTGACGGAGTCTGGGATCTTAGAAGCACTGCCTGGCGTGTCAGTGAGACTTGAAAAACAGGAAGACTCAACTTAGCAAAGAGAAGGGGAATCATGTTCCAAGCAGTGCGGCCAGCACGTGCAAAGGCCCTGTGGTGGGAACAAATCCAACGTGTTGGGGTCCTGTGAGGAGAAAGGGATGAGGGAAGGGTCTGGGAGGCCCCGCTGAGGACAGTGGGCTTTGCAGAGTGAGGCAAAGCCACAGAGCACGTATGAGCAGAGGGGTCCACCTTTTCCTCCCCTCTCATGATCCAATCTCAGTGTACCAGCCTGGAGGACAGCGCCCTATAATCACAGTTACGCAGGAAGCTCGTGTTGAATAGACCCAACTGATACACAAAACCTCCCTAAGGTGCCTGATGCTGTGGAACACGTTTATGATACACGCGCATGTGTGAAAGGCTGGACTCACTCCGTGGATAAAGTGAGACAAACGCTGCCTGACTCAGGGCAATAAAACGTTCGCTCTTCCAAGCTTCTGCTTGCTTCCAACAAATGCAAGGCAGGCAACACGCCAGAGGTTTCCACCTCCACTTGAAGACTTCATTCAGGCTGCACCTTTTGCACAAAATCCCTCTCTCAATGAAGCCCATGGCCGTGGCTCGAGAGAGGGCATTTGCATCTGCTTCTGAAGAGCGTCCACCTGGGGAACTCTAGCTCTTTCCCCTCCTAAAGATCTCCACCTAGAAAACCATTTTCTTTTTTTCCCATTACCTTTACCTTTCGGTTTTGGTTACTCTTCTCTGAGTAAGGACAGAAAATAATGGGGGGAAAGTTTCCAAAACCAAAGGACTGGACCGACTTCTTCCAGAAAGGTGGAATAAATTCCCATCCGACTAGAACATGGGATCTGGAAACAGAAGGCCTGGGTGCCAAGGTCACACCTGAGATGCAGATAATGCCCCACGGGGTCATGTTGTTTCCAACCTCCGTGACTTAGCTCATCTTGCTTCCTCTGTAGAATGTCCTTCCCCTCCTTCCTCACCAAGTGAAGGCTGACCCACCCTTCAAGACCCAGCCTTCCTGTGTCCTCCCCCTGAAAACCTTCCTTGACCCACCTTCCCACACCACACACCAGCCTGAGCTGAGCTCCCCTCTGGAGCACCCATCCTGGGCATACGAGCTGCTGTATTTTCCACACCCCACGGAACTTTCTCTGAGTATGCTGTCTCCCAATAGGCCTTTCACATCTGAAAAACAGAGACCTACCTCATAAGGTAGAAATGTGTGTGTGATCAGAAGATGTTAACACAAATATTACCCCTAATAATTGGTTCATAAGTTACAGCCACTCTCTTCCTGCCTCTGAAAGTGTCTAAAATCTCCCAGAATCTTCTCTTTAGGCTCAGTCTCCTGCAAACATGCTATATGCATGCTCTATACTATGACTCTCATTATGCTATTTCTCCTCATTGGAATAGTCTCTCCATCCTCATTATCCAAACACTAGCCACTGTTCAAGGTTGAGTTCTGGTCTTTCAGAGAAGTCTCCCTTCGTTGCTTCAATCTGGGGTTTCTTTCAAACTTCTCCAGGGTTCTGTTCATGTCATCTACAAAGCATTCAGCACACTCTTAAGCAATTATGTAAAATATATAAACCTTACCTCTAAGGGGTAAGTTTTCAACCCTTAAAAAAAAAAGTCATCCCCACCACCTAGCACAGTGCCTGACAAGTATTAGGTGCTCAAAGGCAGGTGCTCCTCGATGGGATGACTGCCACCGAAATGGGTTTGTGCCTGCAACTCAGTTTACGAAGGTGACCTAGAGGCAACGCAGAGGTCAACGCCGCTGAAAACCAAGCTGAATGTTATCCAGAGCTCCCCTGGCCATGAGAGGCACACCAGGCCACGCAGGCCCACGGTGGGTGGGGGGGGAGGCCCCCGTGTTGGTTACGAGGCAGACAAGGAATAAGGAGAACTCAGAGCCTTACTGGGGTTTCCATGGGAAAGGCAAGGCAGGGCAGGCGGAATGGCTTCGGGTTGGCTGATTTCAATGACCCTGGCAGGCTCTGAGGCATCGGGGCTGTCCCCAGCCATCTGGTCCCGGGCCCTGAACTAATTAAGGGCAGGGGCAGTCCTGGCTCGGCGTGCGAGAGTTCTATAAAGAAGCTGGTTCACAGGGCTGGGCTCTGGGTCACAGGGGAGGTGCCAACAGCTTTGGCTCTTTGGCTCTGGAACGTATGGATGCCAAACTAGCAGAGAATCTGAGAAAAATGAGAAGAGCGATCCACCCGCCGCCCAGGCAGAGTTAAATTTTAATCTCTTGCCTGACAACAATCTGTGATCGAGAGTCTGGCAGGAGCCATCTTTTTAAACAAGGACCCTCACAAGACCAATCCACAGCCCAGCCCAATGGCTCAACATTACTGACCACACAGGCTGCTGGGGATTCGACTCGGGTCTCAGGGGGAATGAAGGATTCACCCGGTGAAGAGCCCCCCAAGTGGGGTCGCCGTCCATGAGGAGACACAGACGCGGGTGTTACTTGGATACGACTCTTGAGGCTGCTACCTGCCCTTCTTCATCTGTGTTAAGAGAAGACAACTGAGGAAGAGATTCCCTCTTTAATTTCATTCCTTCCATTACATTTTTTTAAGTTTATTTATGTTGAACAAGAGAGCAAGTGCACAAGGCGGGGGGCAGGGGGGAGAGGGAGAGAGAGAGAATCCCAAACGGGCTCTGTGCTGAGCGCATGGGGCCCCCGATAGGGGGCTTGAACTCACAAACCATGAGATCATGACCTGAGCCCAAACCAAGAGTCAAGACACTTAACTGACTGAGCCACCCAGGTGGCCTCACATTAAATATTTTTTTTTTTAATTTTTTTTTTCAACGTTTTTATTTTTATTTTTGGGACAGAGAGAGACAGAGCATGAACGGGGGAGGGGCAGAGAGAGAGGGAGACACAGAATCGGAAACAGGCTCCAGGCTCTGAGCCATCAGCCCAGAGCCCGACGCGGGGCTCGAACTCACGGACCGCGAGATCATGACCTGGCTGAAGTCGGACGCTTAACCGACTGCGCCACCCAGGCGCCCCTAAATATTTTTTTAAAGAATCGCGGTTTATTTAATTGGAAATTCCTTTCTTTGCAGCCATATATTGATTTCGCAGTTACCAAGCAATTAAATAGCTAGAAAGTAAGAAAACGGTCAGGAAGCAGACAGAACGAGAAGGCCAGAATCCACCCAAATTGAATAGTCAGCCTCTGAGGAAAAATGAACTCCTTTTCTCCATTTCTTGTACTTGAACTCCTCAACCCACAACTGAAGGATGTGTGGTCTGACGCACACACATGCGGAGTTCTGATAACCACGGACAGGTGGAGGTCCCCGCACCCGGAGCCCTGGGACCCTAGGTGGAAGAAAGCCGGCCCACTCCATTCTAAGGGCCTGCAAAAATCTCCTCACTGCAAGCTGCTTACAAAGGCAAGACTAAAGGGACAGGTGACTCACCCAAGGTCCC